CATCACTTATCTCTTTTGTTATCTACTCTGTAGGACAAACGAATTCTCAGACATAACAGAGTTATTCATAATTTAGTAAAAACAATAATATTGTGGTAATATAATTTGGTTAAGAGTTGAACAAAATGGTTTTAAAGGCACCTTCATAGTATATTTCCAAATGAATTAAGAGTTTATAGCAGTCACGAAAGTCTTTTGAGAAATTAAATAGAGGTTATGCAAAGTCGACCACTTAAGTAACAGTTACTATGACAATTAAGCTTATAATGTTGTTTAATAATGATTTTATGTCTGAATTGTTGAGCACTGTCTAATTTGGTTGTTTGAATAGAGCTGAGAAATTATAATCTATTGCATTAGTTTGCTATTACTTATATATCTACTGTACTATTATCTGTTAATTATTATATTTACAAAAGAAATTGTTTCAGTTTATTAAATAAAAAATTAAAGAAATTTTATATGTAATGTATCACATTTTAATATAATATAGTTTTTAATCGTTTGCAATAATATTATATTTGAATTTGTCGACTTTTATTTTCATTCAAACAACGCGATTCAGCGGCAATGACGTCGACTATTTTTCACAGTGTGTCCGTAATGCCCTTTATTATAATAACATCGTACCTACATTAGTGCAACGGCATAATATGATATTATACGGTTCATACTTTAAGCGTCCTCAGACATTCAATCAATATGTCAAAAACTTAAGAAATCTGTACGATGATGAATAACGTCTGAAAGAGCATCATATACGTTTCATATATTATTGTACTTATAACTGAGAAATTTGTAAAGACGTTTAGAAGTCTGTTACTTAGTCACACTTAAGTTCATTTTAGTTCTTTTTTTTCCTATACTAATGATGTTTCGCAATATTTCTTAGAGTCAAGTAAATATTTGATCTACAACACACATTAATATCCTACTTGATTAAAAGTGATAACCGTCGCTTATAGCAATGTACATAGAATAAATAGTTACACCCATGGTACTCTTCTTGCTTTATTATTTCTGAGGATATTATACTTATTGCCATTTCTTACACCTTAAACTGAAACACATACAAGCACAATTGCTTGGCAGTAGAAACACAGGGAAGAGGTACCTATAGTATACCTACCCATGCCAACACAATGGTTGAACAAAGTCTACGTCTAGTAAAATAAATGTGAAACAGGCAAAAGTTTCAGAGACTATATGCATTCATAATGTTTTTGTTGAAAGGAAGTCATGTAGTCAGTCCAGGTGATATGGATTGTAAATTAAACTGCCGATTGTTTTATTCGGTTGTATACTTTCAAGTACATGCTAGTCATGTACAGAATACAAAGAGGTTTGAAAACATGGTATTATTTGGGTCGACGACTAGCTATAGACGGTTTGATGGTCTAAATGGAGGCTTATCCAAACATAAGTGCTTGAATGGATAAGCCTCCATTTTTGGACAACTTAATAGCTTTTGGACAACTGGCTAATATCTATTCCATTTAATATTTGTATACAACGAGTTTATTCGTGTAAATTAGGATAAAACGTACGTAGATGTTAATACAGGATAACATACCATATCCTGTATATTAAATTTTAATCAAATCTATTTAGCTACCTAAGTATGAACTTTAGAAATTTTCACATCTATAATACGAGTATCATCAGGATTAGTCCTGTACGTTATACTACGTTTATTACTACGTGGATTAGGAAGTAAGATTATTTATTAGCTTTAGGTTCTTAGCAATAAACTAAGATTAAATATAAGGAAAACGTTAAAATATTAAATTCGTAGATAAAATAATGGCAGTATATTGTTTAAAATAAACCTTGAATACGTTGAATTAAATATTTTGCGATTTACTTTTTAGATTTTACTTTTAGTATTTGACTTCTCAACGAGAGTTTTTTTTAACAACTAATTTGATTTAATTATATTCAATACTGGACAATAAACGATTGGATTTATAATGATGAATCAGCTTTCATTTATTGAAGAGACGTCGCATTTTCTTAAAATTATTACGCTACATTTAATCAGTGTACTATGTATTATATTAAACTAGTTTTAACTTTTTTTATATATCATTCTATATCGATTCCAATATCATTTGCCGGAAATATGGTTGTGGGAATCGATACTCAATGTCGACTGATCGTAGAAAGGTGACTTGTTTTGTGTTTACAAACTATACTGTAATTTCTTTTGTATAAAAACATCACGCTTTATTATCATTTTTAGCATTTTCTTAATGTGAATAAAAATTTACGATGACGATAAATCCAAAAATCTCTACCAATGTCATAGATCTTGACACTCTTATCATTTTATGACTTGAAATGAAAAAAAGACTACTTTTATCAGTAAGTTGGTTGGAGTAATAAAAATAGTTGGACAGTAAATTGCGAATAAATATTCGTTATAAGAGGACAAAGTAAGGGAATCTTTAAAAAAATTAAGAAATATAAGTATATACATAGGTATGAAGGTAGGTGGGTATATACTAACAAATAATTAAGTTAGTAACATGCATATTAAATTTAACAAATAACTAATAAACAATTAATGGGTTAAAGGCAAGGAAGAAACGGAAAATTACTCACGTTTAAAATGAAATTATATTAACAGTTTTTAATATGGTTTGTTGAGTTTTAAAAAGAATTACTTAAACCATTAAGTATATACTTTATATTAATATATTTATTTATAAAATATTTTCCTTATTCGTCTAGGTTGTACTAGTGAAAACGTCAGATATTTTTGTTATTTTTAACTAGTATAGATATATAAGATCCATATTATTTATTAAATATATAAAGAGTTGTCACTATACAATTATAGAATATAAACGCCACGTCATCAACAACTCGTCTCATCCCCAACGATACTATCTATAAATTAAGATAGGCAATAGTGAATATGTAATAGCAGGTAGATACCTACAGTAATTTGAGAATAACTGCATATATTCAGCTCTATCAATTTTAGTCTAAATATACTATCATACATGCTTATATTCAAAAGGTGATCATTTCAATGCTCCATATCTAATCAGTATCAATTTAGCTGATGGACAAAAGACTCCGTCATTGAGGTTAGCCGACTATAATGATGGATTGACAGTTACCAAATTTTATATTAGTGATAATATCTAATCTTCCATTAAAAAATGTTCACTATATTGTGATCAAACTAATAAACGTGAAAACCGAACATGCAAATATATATTTAGATAGGCGTTTAAAAAATTAACTTTGTCTCGTCAACATCATTGTCCTTCAGGCGTGAGACGTAGCGAGGAGTGGCGCGGGGGAGGGAAGGCGACAGAGGCAACAGGCATGGGTCGCTGCGGGCGAAGCAAGGGCGTCCGTCTATGCACGCCCCTGTGCCCTTGTCGTACCGTGGCCAGACGGTGCATGCACCCTGCAGCCTGCACACAACAGTGCAACCGCAACCAGTGTGCGAAGTAAACACGTATCAGACAATTACGATGTCCTTTGTTTGTACCCCTAAAAATATTCAATTTAACAGACAATCTGAAAATGGAAAACAATTGTTTTCCATACAAACAGAGTTTTTTCTTCAAAATCCGTATTTAAAATTTTTTTTTTTCAGTAAAAAAGAATTTTACTTTTTAGCTTTTATTTATAATTACACTTTTGATAAAAATTTGATTACATTTATTAATTGTACATTCTTTTACTTTTTAATTTTTATGCTTATAGTTATTTGTTTCATATATGTGTTGACGTCAGCAATAAAATAGGATTTCTTTTTTAACTAGGTAGTTATGGTTGTTACATGAGTTCAATTTTGCACGCGCGGTACTGGTTAACTTATGTTTTAATGGAGTTTTCAGAAAATTCTTTGTATAACATAATAAGAAACGCCTGTTCAAAATTTTTAACTTTTAATTGCAGTAGCGCTTTAGTTTAGTAAAATCCACTCTCAGCCAGGCTCACATGTAAATTCAGGTAACTATTTGGTCGTGTCAGTTGTAGTTTAGTTCGGTAGTTTTCTTATACGAGTATCTTCATGAATTCTGTGTGCTGACATATCAGCCAATTACTTGAAAATTGTTTCTTTATATTTTTTAAGTATCTACTAAAAAACTTTTTCAGTAACCGCGCAACAAAATGTCACAATAATAATTTTCAACACGATTGTAGTGGAAATTGCTAGATGATTTAATTAATGTTCTATTTTCAATATTCATAACTTATTCATTTATTTAAGGAGGGGAGAGTTCTCTACTGTTTATCATGCTTGAAATTCTAGCAAGGATTTTTAAATATATAGTCAAAAATTTGGTTAATTTGGCATTTCTAACTATAAACATAATTATACATTATATTTTAGTCATTAAAAGTATGAATTTTTTTTTTGCAAAATAAAGAAGAGTATAGTATAAAATTTAAGCTATAAAGAGTCTTTTTGCAATCGTTTTTAAAAACTGGGCTTAGCAATCTTTTAGTTAGTTCTTAACAGTCACAGTTTATTAATACTATTTTAAACTACTTTTCATTTATAGCACAGTTTTATTAACTATTTACATTCAGTCGTTGTACTGTAATAATTTTTATTCTGTGGAAATGCACTTCCTATCCCGTCGCAACTCCCATTTTGCCGCCCACCCAATACCGCGTGATGCTGCATTTTAATAGCACTTTTAACTTACAAGCCCAATCACAACGGGTGTACTGATTAATTTTACTTGTCTAACCAAAACTTTATTTATAATACAATTTTTGCAACACAACATTTTTTGTGATGTTAATATAATAAATATTAATGAATCTAGTGGTCAGAAGAATTAGATTAATAATTTTAAAACGGAATGCTCTAAACTTTTTTTATATCACTCCTCATTCTATTAAAATCATCGAGGTCCTATCTATATTTGTTAAATTGGTACAAATTTGTTTATTTTTACGTTTGGTAATTTCCCAAGTATCACATATTTCTTCATATTAATAGAGTTAACGAAGGAAGCCTAGAAACACTTGATACTATAGAGCGTCACTCTTGTAGTATAGTATAGTGTAGTTGTAGTATAGTGTAGATGTAGATTGCCACGATTTGCCAATGTAATCTATCAAATCTGTTGAGAGAGAATTAACTCACAAAAAAAAAGACTTAAATGTCATTTTATATAAAAATACAGATAATAAACATATCTGTCAAAATATTTAATAATTATTATATCATAATGTTTGGACACCTATAGAATAAGTGTATATAACTATTTTTTGTATAACGTAACATCTGTAAGTGTACCTTATTCCAGGAATAAAAAATTTATAATTATAATTTATATTCTGTCATATCTGAATTATTTATCTATTTATCGTGTTTGAAACCAACACATTTTATAGTTTTGCCCATTGTTTGTTATAGACGAATGGACACGATAAATTAACTTAAAAAAGAAATTAATGAAAAGTTTCTTAATAATTAGCTGTAAACTATGGCTTTGCAAGAATCTAATTAGAAAGTAACTTAGTAACAAACATTTAAATATCTTTTAAAAATATACATATATAAGATATTAAGATAGTATATTCATATTGTTGGATTAAATTAATGGTTAAAAAAATTAATACGTGACATTTTATTATATTATATTTACTTAATTTTAAATTATCTTGTACTACACGAGTATAATATATTATCTATATTGTTGCACTTAGCTGCCACAAGATTAATGTCATGATATCGTATTCGTGATTTACTGTTCATTCCAAAGACTTGACAGACAGAGAATGCTTTTAATATCAAGTTTGCTTCTTGTAGGAACCATATTGTCATTTAGTCAATAAAAATCTTTAAATAAGTAAATACCTCAAAGATTCCTACAATTCTTACGAAATAATTTATTAACTAAAAACTGAATTACTTTCGCTAGTGAGGGTTATTGTATTAATTATGATAAAAAATTCTGTAATTTGACTGAGTTAGTGCAATAGTAATCCCTTAGTTAAGTTTACCTTTAGCCGTCAGAAATGAATAAAAATGTGAAGGAAATTACTCATTCATTACCACAACTGCAATGTTTATTTGCTTTGTAGGGTAAATCAGAATGTCTCTGACGTTATGCATAATATCAGTTCCTGCTTTCTATTAGGTATGCCATTTAATGTTTATTAACAACTGTATAGTATAAATTTTGATAACTGTAAGGATTTCTACCACATTTAGAACATTCTCTTTAGTAAGAATATTTGAAGTAGATTAGTCAATAAGTATATTAGCAAAAAGTTTGGCTTAGAATATAATGACTACACAATTATAATGGCACGTGCAGGCGTTGCGTTATGTCGTCAAACAAAATACATGACACGTCCGAGAGATTGATGTCAACGCCTCCTTGAACCCTCGCTTCACAAATTTAATTCACAATAAGTAACTACACTTTTGTATGCGTCCGCGCACAATACCTATTCAGATTTATTGTGAAGTGCTGAATCGGTAATCGGCTATATGCCCGGTCGCTCACCCTTCATTATACTTACTTCAAATGGATGTAACTTGATCAGACCAATCAACATATTTTCTGTTTTTAATTTGCCGTTAAAGATATTGTATTTCACAAATACACAAGAAATTTATAATTTTAATTGCTACTTAAATGATTAATAATTTTTTTAGTATTTACATCTCATCATATCCAATATATTCTACTATATATTTCAGTTCATGAGAAATTTCGTACAGTAATTGCTTGGAATCATCCAGTAAATTAAATGTTTTTTGCATGGATGTTTTCGATACCTCATTCTTTAAAGATTCAAAATAATATCTTTCGTCTTCAGTCATAGATTCTATTTCATCTTGAAGAGGTTTTAAATTATACATATGATTGGGTGTTACTTTGTCATCAAGGAATATGCTATTGAGTTCTTCAAATATGAGGTTGTAATCTGCTTCCACTTCTTTATTAATTTTTGCTATTTTAGTAGCTAATAGCTGGTCTAATATATTACTCGATTCATCCTTAACATTGTCAGATAAATCAGAACTTCGTAAATGTAGATCTAAAAATATTTAATTATTAGTAGTGTTAATGTAAAAAAATATGTATTAATGGTTGTACTCGTATTTAGGAATTATTTAAAAATCATCTATAAATATACAAACACATAATCTTAAATTATTTTGTACTTACGAAGCTGATTGTGATGCTTGTCATTACAATTTCTACAATACATTCCGAACTGTCTTGTATCAACTTCTAACTTCATTAATAGAGGATCAACTTGCGCAAGATTTTGATTTATTTCCAAGTGGATTCGTTTTGGGTTTACATTCCTCACTTTATGATAAAAATGATAATATTCATCTTGCAAATTTAAAATATCGTACATAATTCGACCAAAATCTTTTAAAGCAATATCTTTTAAATTATTTTTTAGTTCCACTATTTTATTCTTATATGAATCATGGTCCACAATGATCTTATAATTTATTTCATCTTTGCTTATATTCACATAATTTTCTAATTTGGTTTTAATTTGACCAAATAAATTCATCATGGAATCGCAGTACCCATACTTCTGACCTTGATTCTGTTCAATTGTAGTCTGCAATGAAACTCTTTCAAGTTGCATTTGTGCTGGAAAATATTTTTGTGTTATAACAACTTTTTAAATATAAACAAATTACTCCAATTAAAAAAAATATGAAAGTATTTACAATAATATAATTATATCAAATACCAGTTGTATCTTATTGATAACAAGCTATTTATTCCAAATAATACATATGACTAAAGAATTTGTTTATAAATAAAATATCCTTACATAATAATACATCCTTACATAATATAAATGAATAAATATTGTTACCAAATACATATATGTATTTCTAAGTAAATATTCTATCGGTATCTGAAAAGTAACATAGTTTAAAAAAAAGTATATAATTGATATACTTAATATATTTTTAAATCTTTATTATTTTTCACTTACCACTTTCTAGCCAGGGTCGGTTACAAGTAAGTTTGCATATTTGTTTTTGTGTATTTAAATTTTCTAATATTTCCGTAGCTCTATCTGACTTTTCTTTAAATTTCATCTGTAAGTAAGGATACTCTTGTAATGCAGAGGATATTTCTGCTACCAATGGTTCTATTGCTTGCCGAGATCGGGCTAACTCTTCCAGAATATGTTTTAAGTGTTGAGGTCGGTCACCGAACCAACTTTGAAATATTTTGATTTCCTGTATATTCTGATTACGCACATCGATTGCAGTATCATAATAACTGTCGTTAATGGATTTGTATATTTGCAGTTCATCAGTAAAATAATCTATTGCCTCTTTTAAATCATGAGCACTGAACAATGTTTGACCTTCTAAACATTTTGGAGGTAATTCTGAAAAATATAGCAGTTTTAAAAAAATACACTGTATGTTTACTTTACATCTATTTATATCAACATGCCTAATTAATTTCGAGTAAATGACAATAAAATAACCAGTTTAGTGAATAAATACCTGTATAAGGCAGTTTTTCAGTGTTACGACTAATTAATACCACTAGAGATTGTTAGTAATGCAGGCTCGGTTCCATTGTTTGCAATAACCCTGTCAGATCGACTTCCATATAGTTCCCCCTGGAAACTATCGTGCTAAATTCCAGGTGTATTTATAGTGTAGATGTATTTATCACGATGGGCTAAATATTTCTGCTCTTTCATTCTCATCTATCATCCCTCACTGGTGCCCCGCCAGCGTATACCATTAGCGTAGGCGGGGTTACTATTCCATCATCCATTAAAAAAGAACTAGTAGTAGTAGTAAAAACTTATAATTCATTCTCGTAACATTTTCATTACAAATACATTAAAGAGGTAAGCTGAAGTGCAATGATTATAACGGAAGTCTATGTGGTAGATATGCCCTCGTGGTTATTGGTATTCTACCCTTCATTTTCTTTGAAGGCTTTTTATTATGAAATACTTATTACAAAAAACTGTTAAGATTATAATTATATTAATGTAATAAGTTGCATTGTTTGATACAACGTCTAGACATGTTATGTTGTTTACATGCATATAAATCTACCATTGAATATTTTGTATTTAAAGTTTCCAAATACTGTTTTTTCATTAAAAAATAATTTATTTACAGTGAGAGACTAATAACAATCCTGTTGTATAATTAACTATTTTATTTATTTATTAATTTTAATTTTAATGCATAAAATTCAATGTACATTTGGTGAACTTAACACTGGATGGTGTCCTCTACCAGTCAACTATTAGGCAAACCGAGAAATAAGTCTGCGGTGCATCATTGAATAGAGGAAATATAAAGTAATACTTAATATATTGATATAATATAAATATATAATAAGACTGATATAAAGATACACATATTGTCGAGGTAAGGACAGCAACGACCCTCTTTAAACATCACTAAAAGCCTACTCGTAACTGTGCCTGCCAAGCACGACAATTACTGGCAAAATATATATAATTATATAATTAACATATACACATATATGATTCTGTCTTTTTGATACTGTGTTAGGCTTTGATATGGATGATCTTATAACTGAATCAAATTAACTTACTGGCAGCTTTTTGTATGGAAAAGACTAAGAACCAGAACTAAAGCTTTTAGTTAAATATGTTTAGGTGAAGGAAATAGGCTTATTTTCATGGCCAGGTAATCTGTAGTAGTTGCTTAATATATAAAAATAATATAAAAAATTATAGTTTATATTTACCCTCAGTTGGAGATTTAGATTCTGAAATATAATTCTTCAATACATTTTCTTCCCCATTAGAGAGTTGTCTATCTATTTCAGATTTTTGTGTGGAATACCAGTTTAAATTGTTTTCGAAAAAGTATACACCAAGAACTGTAGTATTATATAAAAATATTACACTCACAAATAATTTGAGTGATAACATTGTGGGTAAATAAAGTACAGTTGTAGTATTAGATGCTATCATGCAACTATACAAATCCTTTATATACTTATTTATGAAAAATTTTATATTTTAAGAATGTAGATAAAAATATAAAATTTACTTAGGTATGTAAACAACTTAAAGACCTATTATTTTTTATTACTCTATATCTACTAGATGGTTTAGAAGTTTTACATTAACTCACTATAGCTACCTACTTTGATATAATCAAAAGGTTTTTCTTGCTTACCACGAGTTTAACAAAAAAAATCGTTTCTTTTTAAAAACTGCTATAAATAGTACTTAGGTAACCTTATCGCCCAATGCTGCGGACGTGCACCGCATAAACATAACATTACTGTTGATATAAAATAATAACGGCTTCATGCAATTGCATAAGGACATTTTGCTTTTCTACTTATTAAAATACATCGTATTGATAAAGCGTGCCATGTCAGGCTACGGCAAAATATAAAAACGTTCATTGTCTTTGCCACGACCAATATAATCCAAAATAACATTGATAGTCTATTATTCTATTTTATTTTCTAAAAAAAACAAAGCAAAATAGAAAAAATGTGTTAGAAATTCGAATACTTTTTTTTATTTTTTTTTTCTATAACACAGGAGGCATACGAGCATGGGGCTCACCTGATGGTAAGTGACTACTACCATCTATGAGTACCCACAACATCAGAGGTATTGTAGGTGTGCTGCCGCCCTTTTAAAAAGAATATGCCCTTTTCTTGAAAGTTACGATGTCCTATTTGTTCGGAAATACTGCTCCTCGAAGTCGATTCCAATGTTTTGGACTCGTTAATTTTACACCCAACCCAAACAAGTGCACAATAGCAAGTACACTGCCTAAGTACAAGCTTCAAACAAGCTTCAACAGCAAAATTGCTAAAATCTAACAAGAATGGGAGATAAAGGGTTTTGTTCGAGCAAAATCATCAATAACAGTGTCGAATTTTATAAAATATGCAAGAAACGCCAAGTACAGATGATACAGATGATGCACAGGTGTACGAAAACGCTGCCTTTAAATACTTGGATACCTTTATGTTATAGTCACAAACGAAAGGTGTTGAAAGATTGAAGCATTCATTTATCTGTCTAGACAGAATACAGATAGACAGATAAATTCATTTAAAAGCCACTTCGCCACAAATAGACGTTTGCAACACCCAACTTTCAAATTTATCAGAATTTACGTCGTTTTTTGTTTATCTCTTTTGACATGCATTAACATATAGATAGTCTATTTTTGTCATTATCTAAATTAAACATCATTGTTTAATTTAGATAATGACAATGTATTTATTTAAATGACTTCATAGTCTTTAAATAAAAAAAAATAACATCATTATATACAAAACATGCACTAATAATTTAAAATAATTACTAGGTAATCATATTCCAAAACAATTTAAATTAATTTCTTCCATAATATTTTAAAAATATAATAAAGCAATAAAGTCACACAATATTTATAAATAATCTACATAGAGGTTACCTAATATAAAAAATATAAAATACTAATCAATATTCAGGGATATACCTGTACAATCACGAAATCAATATGACACCTGACTGCAGCGACCTTGCATGGTCGCCATGTAGTCTGGAGGACGCAAGTACGACAGGACGTGTCGACCTCTGCACCTCGTATCATCATTTCAAATCAACTAGAGGTAATTAATTCGATTTTATATTGCCAAGTTTTATTTTCTCGTAGCTAATCTTTTGTATCACCCAAGATTTATAAAAGATTAGATAGAAGAAGTGCACTCGACTTCGTTTAGATGAAGCATTCTTTGTAGAATACTTGTTTATTAAAACAAAATTTGAATTATAAGTGGAGAATACTTGATGATTCTAAAAATAAAAATCTATATTCTTCGTAATTATACTAGTACAGTGTAAAAATCGACAATTAAAATTTATTCCATTATGATATTTCATTGGAAGTTGTTTAGATTTTTCTCGTCATGATGTAACAAACATACAGAAAAACATTAATTTTATTAGTAACTGAATTTGTTGTATCCGTATTTGTTAAAGCTTTTTAAAAAAAAACTTAATGCATCACTTTACTGTACTGACTTCTTTCGATCTTTACTATTGTATGAGTGTAGATTTTGTGATATTAGCTGAATGGGTGAAATTCCACTATTTAATAAGGTACATGTTTAAATTTTTAATATATAATATCACATAAAAATTAAAAAATAGATAAGTGTAACATTAAGACAGAATATGAAATATTGAATTAGATTTTTTTTCTAAAATTTTATTATATTACAAGCAGCCGCCCCGACTTCATACGGTTAGATAAATTAGCATTTTATATTAGATATAAAAAAAAATATTTAGTCAATATTATTTCCTGATAACGTAACTTTCTATAAGTTAAAGAAGAAGAATATAGTAAATATATACACACACATACACATAATATATATATATATATATATATATATATATATATATATATATATATATATATATATACTTATGCATATTTACAGGTTATATACTCATTAAAAGAAAGTATATTTATTAATATATAAAAAAAAATAGATAAAATAGTTATCTGCTAGGATATTAATTATAAATGAAGCCCCTTTCCAATATTCACCTGCTGTAAGCTTGTTTATTCCTAAATGGTGAGGTGTATAAATTTGTAGACATAGATTACTTGTATCTAACACACCCCAAAGCCTCATTTATCAAGTCTGGGTTGAGACAGGAAAGGGGGTAGGAAGGGGCAGGAGGGAGTGAGGGTTACCGGGGAATGAAGAGGGCGGAGGGGTCGGACGGCGGCTTCAAGGTTAAGGCCAGCCCAACTCACCCTCTGTAGACGCACGCACTCACTTGATATAGGTAGACTATATTCCCGATCAAATGTTTTCTTTTGCACTTCAATCACTTTTATCAATATAGACCTTACACTCAACTAAATAAAGTAAGTTCTATTGCGTCATTTTATTGAATTAAATTTTTTTCAGGTATTCTACGTCCAATACTGCATTATAATAACAAAGCATCTGCAAGATCATTAACTATAGTGTTACACTTCAATCGAATTATTGGCTGTCAAACAAGATAGAAATATATCTACAGATTTAATAACTATCATAACTGATATAACATGTTAGTACGTAGATCTCTACGGATCACATAGCTTACTATATATCTACCTAAATAATATATATAATATAATGACTTATTTCTATTTATTTTAATTAACTAATCCTAAATCTATATATATAAATATTATTAATAATAATAAAACTTTTGCTAGATTTTTTTTTAATTTAAAGGTTTTCAGTTTTCCCGTGAGTGCCGTAAAAGCCGACTAAGGGAAGGCGAGGGATGGGCAGCAGTGTCCCTCTTAAAACATCTTTAAAGCCTGACTGCGGTTACCAATCCGACTGCCAAGCGTGGCAACTACTAGCAAAATTCCCCAAGAGGGAGGCTTATGTTTAGCAGTGGACAGATAAAGTCTGATATGATGATGTTGATATATATCTATAACCAGATTCTTTATGAGATCGATTACAGAGAAAGAAATCTATCGAGTGTGTTACTAACATGTCTTAGTTCATCCAATTTCAACATAGATTAAGGATAATAACTACCTACTTTCACAGTACGTCTTATGGATTTACATCAATTCCGCGTACTCTTGATTTATATAAAAATGTTTGATATTTTAATCATAAACTACATTAAATTAGTTCCTTCTATATACTCGTAGATATCTAATGTGACTCATGTACAATATAGATGGCACTGTCCCATTGTTTGCCCACGCTGTCTATAAAGACGGTCCAAAATAACGTAACTGATTACTCTGACAGTTTAATGACTAATAAAATGTTCTATTAACTAAATGTTCACCGCCAAAAGTATTATGTTTTGGGTAATAATAAATTTAGAGCATCTGTTTATTATTAATTTTAGAATTCCAATTTGAGTTTCTAATTTTAAAAAATGTAGTCATTGGGCCAATGGAGTTAATGGATCTTTTTGGATCGAACTTTTTAAAATAGGTTTATCTTGAGATCGATACCAAAATTCAAGATATTGAATGCTTTGGGGGATTACGTCGATCCCTCAAGTATCTGTGTTATTCTTTATTATCTTTAGGTTTCCTTTTTTCAGAAAATTTTTCTTTTCATTACATAATTTTCTTTTTTATTAGACGTCAACATTCACATGATACCGAGACCAATTTTATCACTTTTATGATTAAAAAATTGATATTTTTGTCTAAGATTGGAAGCCCTAATTTCAACAGGTAGGTATATAAATAACAATAGGTATAATAACCTGTTTACACGCTCACACATATATGAGTACTTAAGTGTATTTAAACAAAGTATAAACATAGTTTTCAATATTTGTTAGTAAATATTTTTTACTGTCTAGTGCGTATAAACATAAGTGATAACGGTCTATCCGGTTTAAATAGATTATAATAGCAGTTTGAACCGACCGTGAAGGGCGGGCGGCGAACGCCACCCAACCACAAATATCATGCTCTTACTGCTCTTCTCTTTCACACGTATGCTGTACTTATTATATATCCTTAGTAACATTATAAATATGTCTTTTTTCTCTAGGCACCTCTATGGCTTAACCGATAGTCATGAAAATTAGTATATTTGCACTATTTGAGATAGATGAGTTCAAAGACTACTTTTTATGTCAGTCACGCCAACGACGTCACGGGTTAAAATTAGTAATTTATCTCTACAGAAAGACGACGTAATTGTCGTCGTATTTCAATTTAGTAACAGTTTTCACTATTGATATCTATTACTTAACATAAAATTTTCATCCATAAAAAAACTAATATCATAGGAATAATACAACATTGAGGGCAAACAACGCTCGAACAACGACAGATGTCGTTGTTATTTTATGGTTTACTTTCGGTTTTCATATAATTATAGATGAGTAATATAATACTAAATGACAAGTCACTGTTGGATAATTTTGACAGCATTCTGTAGTATATCTACATACAATTCGGCTATAGCACTATTACCCTAGCTCAAAGTTCCGTAAGTACTCGCCAGGAACGAGGGAAAAATTGTATTGCATGCAGTCCCCTCGGCCAGTAGCATGGTCTAACCGATGCACAAGTGGTCGTTGCTATCTGATTTACAATTTCAACACATTATATATAGGACCGAAGAGATAACTTGAACAATCTGTTTATATATATTATTAATAAATGTTTTATTTTGACGCGAATTTATTTACTTATTGACAATATTATTTTTTGCCTGTTTTATTTTTAAATCACCAATTTAAAAAAGATAGCTACGGCGAGTTTTTACTACTATCTTGGTAGAAGTTAATTAAAACAAGACATACCGATATTGGTTATTAATTATGTATATTATGCGAGTCAAAATGTTTATGTAAACTGATGTCGAAATTGTTAGCATCCTTTGTAGAAAGTATTCTAACAGAAAAAGTAGGCTTGAAATATTTTACATGCCAGAAGTGAAGTTTCATATGCAAGGACAAATCATACATCACTTCAGCTACGTTGCTTTACAAAAGGTGCTACAAATCACTTTAAATGAAATCGCAGATAGTCAGTCGCTGAGTTCGAATTTATTCGTGAATCATCAACTGCGCTCGGTTAGCAATGAAGTAAAATCGTATCAGACAGCCGACTGGGTAATACAAAGCGAATAAGTAAAGATATTATCACACTGTGTTAATTCCATTTTCACTCGCTGTTATCATAAAAATCATAGTTATTATTTAAATTTTTAGTAGTATATATATATGTGTGTGTGTGCGATATTAAACCATTGCTATCGAAAATTACATTTTAAGATTTGTCACTGAGAATAAAATTAATTATTTTAATTATCAAAAGAAACATGGGCTACTAACACGGTTTATGTATTGTTAATGATTCCATTCTATTCTGTATATCCAATTACAAATTTGTTTCTTTATCAGTTATGTATCTTCAAAATTTATAATTATAAAGGAATATTTTCTCCGTGTCACTGTATACAAAATGTCTATATTACAAATTTATTGATATTACAAAAGTAAATGACATCTGAAAAAAAATTAAAATTCTCTATAAGAACAACGAATTTGTTAGCTCTCTTATTACATCTCAATTCGAAGTTTCTAAAAAGTTACTTCATTCAGTATTTATTCACAATGTTACACGTTTAAAAACATAGGTCGTCAATGCTTAAATATCCAATAGATAAATAAATCAATTGGGTCAAACATTCGGACAAATTTTATAGTGTTTCTCTGGTTCCATGTTTATTACTCGTTATTTGTTAAGTACCAAGCACTACATGTTAGATGTAATAACATAAAATGTACCTATAAAGTTGAGATAGGAAGAATAAAAAATACTCAAGTTTCTCGTCTAGACATATCCATAATAATAAAAAGTTGATAATAAAAACTTCATATCTGCACATGAAAAACATATTTTTGTTTACCTAATACCTATTCTAAAATATTTAGTTCTCTACATATAAATAATTTATATTATTTTGAATGATGTTTAAAATATTCATCGTCATCATCATCATCATCATCATGTCAACCTTTAACTGCCGACTTCTGAACATAAGCCTCCCCCTTGTGGAGGTTTGCTAATAGTTGCGACGCTTGGCGGGCGCATTGGCAAGTGCAGAGAGTCTTTAGAGATATTTTATGAGGGACGCTGCTACCCATTTTCATCCTCCATTAGTCGCCTTTTACGACATCCACGGGAAAGGAAGGGGTGGCCTATTCTATGCTGGGATCACACAGCCGCTTATAAAATATTATTACCACTATTATTATATAAATTGTATACATGTAAAAAAATATAAAATTAAAAATGAATAGAACAATAATAATAATAGGTATTTAATAAAAATGAATAAGCATGTGATTATTTTGGTAATTTTATTTATATTGCTATATCCCATATCAATTATTAAAAAAAATACAAACACTCAATTTCAAATAATTATATTATAATTTTAAATAGGATAGTCAAAGACATTTGTTGACTGTTATCGATGCGATTTTCTATAGACGTTTTTGTATGAATAAATAATATATTATATAATAATAAAAATTATATAAATAAGGTATCAACTTTTTTGTACAATTTTCGCTTATTCAAACAAAAATATTATATTAATTATTTATATGTTCAGGAATTATTATAGTAATATGGTTTAGGAATTGTATGTTAATAAGATAAGTGAAATAATATGAAATTGATAATTGAATTAAATATTTAGGGGTAAGAAAATGAGTGCAGAGGACGAAGTCACCCAATCGACTCAGCGGCACGTGACTCGTGAGTCAGTAGGCAGACAGTAGCTAACTCACGACAGACGGATATGAGTCCTTCCTCCGAGCTATCGGCCGGCACTTTTGTTAAATTAAAATGGATGAGGTTTAAAGTGGATGGAGCGGCCGTAACTAACAGTTGGTGGTGACGGCGACGTCTGTGCGATTATGATACTTCGTTGAGAAATGTAGAACGCATTTTAAGCATTCTGGCAAATTAAACAGTACCTCTATAAAAAAGCAACTGCATACAACTTAATATTTTTTTGTATACAATTAAGAATTCCAAACTAATATCACACTTGATAAAACATTGTACGTTGGTACCAACTGTACAATGAAAATCAAAGCATATATTGTGGCACCAATGGTCCCTCATGCGTTGTCATTCCTGAGGATTAAGATGTCATGCCTTATATTATTGTTTTGTAATGTCATTGATATAGGTATTCTCTATTCCCTATTCTCAATCTTCAAAATGAAATACAGCAAAGCAGTTACAGTTGATTCATAGCCAATACACGAGTAAGACACATTGCAGTCTGCATCTAGAAATTTCGATGAATTAGCGGAGTTGAACTTCTGTTTGATCGTATTTTTAAATGAACGAAAATAAAATAAGAGACATCATGAGTGCGCACAAATCACGAGCCTATAATTGTTGAAATTAATTATGATAGAATTTCTAGCCTTTATCTGCGGTAATTTATAGTTTTCGATTTATTTCGTAACATCTTTATTCAAAATAAGATAAATTACTTTCGAATAAAATAAATTTAATGTAGGCTCATGTATCGAACTGAAGCATAATGTTTTATAATAGTTTTTTAGAAGTAATAAAAGACTGAGTACTTAACAGACTGAAAAGTTTTATTAAATGAATATTATGTATTTATCCAATAAATCATCTAAAAATTTGATGAAATAGATTCAAAAAATGAAGAAATAATGTTAGTAACATTATCTAATGAATAAATTGTAAACGTGAGTCCCTTGATCTCCCTCGCTGTTTGGCCCCTACTGTTCCGGTTATGGACTGTACCTCATGTACCTAACTGCAACCTAAATTGAGTATAAACTACTGCTGAAAGGATCAGTCTTACATAAGTCAGAACTAGTTTTTTTTTTTTATTTACATGAAAAGTAATAATTTAAAGACCTCTGCTTTTAAAATAAAAAGTCAACAATAATCTACATTCTCAAGTATTTACTTTGATACTATTATAAACATTTTTATATATTAAAATATTTATTATTCCGTTTTATTATGCATCGTAACACGTAGTGCGAAGACTATAAAATAAATTTATAGTATTCGATAGCGGCCACCCGACCGAATGACAAATCAGTTGTAAATTTACAATACACGTGTCAATTGAAATCAGTATTAAATGTATATGTATATCTAATACAAAAACATTATGCTGACACGTAACAAGTTTGTTTGAAACAAAAACAATTGTAGATTTGTATTCGAAAAACAAAGAAATGGAGAAGGAGAATATTAATAATGATTAATTTAAAATTACATAGTCGCGTGTTACGACTGTGCTTATTAAGAACTTCGATCGAAGAGGTCAATTTGAGATAAAATCCGTCTGGCTCTGATAAAAAAAGAGATTGTAATAGCACTGGAATTTCGACTTGGTGCAGATAAATATAATAAGACATATTTATCATTATTAATATAAGTATTTCATAAAAAACAAAAATATTTATAATTTTTGATAAATATTTACATGCATCGATATCATACGTATTTATATTTTATAT